GTGGCTTTAGCTTCTCAGTGCAACCGCTGCGCCACCAGGGAGGGCCTAGTTTGATTTTTAAAGCTAACAATCTGCTGGGCCTCCCTGGTGGTTCAAGGGATTAAGTCTCAGCACTATGAAGCCATCTACAGCCACTGCAGCACGAGTTTGGTCCCTGGCCAGGGAGCTGACCCACATGGCGCAGCAGACCTCTCCTGTCTCACCTGCTGTTACCCTTAGCAGTGTGTATCAATAGATCCACTGTCCTGCTCCCTACTCTGTCTCTGATGAATCCTCTCAACTCTCCTACCACCGCCTCTGATGAATCTTCTCTCCGCCACCACCGCCACCACCATCCCAACCCCCATAACACTGGCCCACACCCTAGCTCTTGTATGCATAAATAAATCTTTTTTTTTTTTTTTTTAAACTCTGTTATTTACTCTGCTATATAGAGTGACCATCTGTCCAAGTTTGCCTGAACCTGGAGGAGTGTGGGCTTTTCACTCTTAAAGAAAGTCTTGGGTAAACTGGGATAGGTTAGCTACACTCCTTCTAATGTGAGGCAAGGAAACCAAGCCCAAGTTTGTCTACCAGATTTCACCCACAGCACCGATACATATGAGTGGCCTCTTTTCCTTGAAGTGACCTTCCTATCGCTTGCTTCCAGGCCATCTACCTTGGCGGCCACCTACCTTTGGCTTCTAGGGGAGTGGGGGTACCTGAGCAGACTGGTCACACCTGGTTAAATGGTAATAGATCTCTAATGAGATACTCCAGTTGTACAATTACCTTACCCAACTATATCTCAGGAAAAAGATAGGCAGATTCTTATTGAACATGTGTCAATTACTAAATTGCCTTGGAAAGTAAGGAGATTTAGTAAAAGTATAGGTTTCCAAATCGGGAAAGGACCAGTGAGATTCAGACGCCATTTAAAATGTCTAATTTGAAGGAAAAAGAAAAGAAGAGAAAAAATGTTTATTTTCATTTTAAAAGGCATAATCTACTAAACTGAAGGCTAGGGATAGCTCAGGAAGACAGAAAACCTCTTCATAAAAATAGAACAATAAAAATAATACCAAGTATATTCCCCACAAATAACCCTGAGTTTTCCTACAACCATTCATTTAGTTCCATGCAGTTTTTGTTTTACTGGACCTTGGAATGAGCTGGCAGCTTCTGGATTGAACACAGTCCTAGAAATCGTCAAGCCATTCCTCCCTCTCTTCTTTTCTTTTGCTCTTTCCAAGGACTTATCTGCTACAGGATGGTTTAAGTTCATCAAAGAGATGAACTCAGGATTTCTGTGTTTAAAAGAATTTTGCCTGCTGCTTTATTTTCACAAGAGCTTCAACATTCAAAAAGCGATTCCTTTTTCTAGTATCTGGCATGTGTAGAAGAAGCCAGGAAAAGTTATCATCTGTAGTATTAGCTGTCTGAAATAGAACTCTTCCTCCTCAAAACATGAAAGAATTCTTCATTTGGACAGGCCCTGAGTTGCAATCACACTCATCTGTAAAAGAACTGTTTCAGGGCAGATATGCCAACTTTGGGCTTGACTGGAAGGATCCCAGGCACTGCACAGATGACAGGAGAGACTCCATTTAGTCGTTCAGTTCTGGCATGTGTCTATCCTGGCATGTGAAGTTTTGTATCACTTAAAACTCCTGGTTCTCTAAAGTTGATTGTCCTAATTTTATTTTCACTTTTTTTT